TCCAATGGAATTCCAATGGAATGTCTATTTCATTGTTATGTAACTTATCAACGATAACTTCAGTTTTCTCATCATCATTGTGACTATAATGTGGATGTTGTTGATCTGACCTGATCGTCATTGTTGTGCGAATTGTGGCATCATCACCATCAACATCACTGTCAACATCATCAACACCAACACCAACGTCCACATCAACATCACTGTGATTCAGATGATGATGCTGATGTTGATGGTGATGATCGATCAGATTGACCACATTGAAACTGACGTTGATTGGTGGATGGCTGGTTGCTGGTGAATGTGATCTAGTGCTGACAGGATCAAGTGAAGGATGGGATGAATTCGTATAGTGAACATTGTCATCAAAATGATGATGGGGATAATGATGACGATCGGTGACAGTAGTACTGATGGGAATATGATTAGTAGTAGTGGAAGTATGAGTAGTATGTGTACTGGTAGTGGTATTTGTAGTTGATTGTGTAGTTGACAATAGAAATTTATCAGGTGTAGACAGATCGTGCTGCAGGTGAGATTGAATGTATAAATGATGATTGTTGAGTAAATGCATCAAGTTGATGTAGAAGAGCTCCATCAATGTGTCATTGGTGCAATTCGATTTCAATGGTGGAGTGGTGAGGTCGAGTGATTGGATAGATTGTGTGGAGGTAGTGGAAGTGTCTGTCCGACTTGTTGACGATGCATTGATCAATGCTTGGTGATGAGGTAGGAATTGTGAATTGTGTGTGGATGTGAAATGTGATGGATTGAAGAGGAGAGGAGTAGTGATGTTTGTTGGATTGTTTGTGGAGTGATTGTGATTGGTCGGAGAATCAGTCAATCGATCTAATGTAGATATGTGTGAATTAATGAGTGGATGTGTGTTGAGTGTTGGAGAGGAATTGGTTGTGAGTGTTGACCTCATCGATTGATATGTGGATATGTGTGGATGTAGACGATGGAAGAGTGGTGGGAGTATTGAGGAGGGATTCGATGACAGAGTGTCTTGATCATCGACACCAACATCACCATCACGATCCTCATCATCATCTTCATCGTCATCATCATCGTCATCGTCTTGCTTATGCAGTTTATCATCAGGACGACTGAGACCGAGTGCACGACGTACTTTACGTTGTGCTCTACGTCTTCTGAAATCACCACTGAGAAAATCTTTCAAGTTAGCTGGATGTATTCCCCAATAATGTCCTTTACCATTTGCAGCTCTACCTGTCAAATAATGTGAATGTACAATGTGAATTATTCCTACGTTACATTTCTTATTTTGTGAATGACAAATTACATGAAATACACACAAGTAGGTTGTATGAAATCAAATTCATAATATTCGGTTTTTTATGATATTTGTGAATGTGAGTTGTGTAAATCACAAAATAATCTTCCACGTAATCTTTTTTTAAGACTGGAATATGTTCACTGGTTAACAATAATATGAATGGAGTACATCCTACTACACATACTACTGATGGTAGTTAGTGTTGATGATCATGTATGTCACTTTGTACATTCCATACAAATCACACTATCATCTATCTACATTGGACTGTAATTTATTGTGATAAATGGGAGTGAGTGAGTGTGCGACACTGATGTGCAGCTGGTTGGTTGAAAATGTTGGTGAGGTTTCGTTTTCTGATGTCGATGTTTTGGTTGTGGAACTTTCACCATTCATCTGAACAACATCTTCAGCACAGACATCAGAATAAAGTGAAGTATTCTGATTTTTCAACGATTGACTCGTAGCTTGTCTTGGTGACCTCGATCCTGTTTCGCTTTTAATGACCACCAAGCTGCTATATCAGCTCCACAACCTAAACATCTAGCATACAGAACGAAACTCCGCTATCATCATCCACGCACGATACAAACAAGTGGTTTACCATATTTCAAACGGTCATCAGAAAACAGTTGAGAATGACATGGATCCACCAGAGTTGGTTGACATTCATCAACATTCATGACTGATATGAATGAGATATTCCCACAGAATCATCACTCACTCAACATCTTCAATATCATCATCACTCTTTCCCCTTTTGAATCTCACTGAACAAAACACTGTATCCTCTTCATGGAATGAATGAGAGTGAGCTACAGGTTTTTATTTTCCACTGTAACAGCAACAAATTCATATGTGCACATAAAAAAATTCATCACATTTTCAACAAAAACTTACCAACTTTAATAAAACAATCATTCAATGATAAATTATGTCGAATGGAATTTCTCCATCCTGGACCACGTGAACTGAAATATGGATAACGTAGTTGAATCCATTGATAAATTTCTGACAATATCATACGTCTTTCTTGTGTACTGAGAATGGCTTTAGCAATTAAACCTACAAAATATGAGAGATTAAAATGTTATGGGGAATGAACAGAAGTGGCATTGTATTGAAAAATGACAAGTCAACTCAGTTAGTTAGTTAGTTATTTGCCTAGAACCACAATCACTATCCTTTCTGGTTGGATTACATGAAACTGTAGAGATCGTTTCCTCATCTAGATGACTGTCTATTCGAGTGTGAGTGTGCATTCAATAAATTTGTGAGCCAAGTATGTCAGCGAAAAAATAACAAACCAACCATAGTGAAAGTGATGCCGTATTGAGAACACAGTGAAGTTGGATGTTGCGTTGTGGTTAATCAAGTCTGTAAATAAACAGTGAATCTATTCAACTGAATTCAAATTCTACACCTGCGAATGAAGTGTACGAGTCAGGAGCTGAATGTTCTTATTTTTCAAACTATTCACTCCCTACTTAGCAGTAGGTAAGTCTGAAGATGAATTCAAGAGACGATTGGTCTGTGACGTGATCTAACAAACAGATGGAAATCCGAATACTTGATCAGTTTGAAGTATTTTTATGTTCTGAATATCAAGGTGCCGACTAGAAATAGGAAAATGGTGTTGTCTGGTTTGATCTATTTTCATAATGTACGAATTCCGCATTTTTCACCGAACAAAAATGCCTAGAATATTGGCTTATCACCGATGAATTGTCTATGTTATTCCCTAATTCAGATTGTGCGCAATTTCTATCCTTAATCGCACCAATTCATACTGAGTAACAAAAGTTGAAATCAATACTGGGAATGAGTAGAAGTTGTTGGTGTGTGTTGATGAGGTATGCTAGAGGGTGTGGTATCTACAAGTGGTTTCTTTTTACAGTATTCAGTCGTTATTGTGTGTTAGGTCGACAGAACGAGTGGTAAATTTTATATCAGAATGCAACTGATCAATTTTCACTGCTACTCATCATTATAGCAATGAAAACAGACATTCATCGCGACAATTTAACATCAATCCACATTCTACGGACCATCATCATTTGTGATTAATTTTTTGTAATAGTTTCTTGTGCAACTAATAATCATAATAATAACACTGTTGATTTCATCCGTCGTCTTGTTGATACTGTACAGTTGAATTAAAAAGAAATTCATTATACTCGTCATGATTCACAGTAATTATGAATGATTGCTTGTTCAAGCCATTTTGTTATTACTGCTGTCACATTGCATACTATAAACTATACTATAAACTATAAACAAACGAACAATTATTTCAAAACGATTCATTGACAATATGGAAATGACAACGAGAGAGAGAGAGTATGTGTGTTTGTTTGTGATGACCGTCCCCAACATTCACAGATGTATCAGTCACACACACACCCACTGTTTAGCTGACAAACACATTGGAACACTTGATTTGCATAACTGAACAACTGTTCCCTGTAAGAGTGAACATAAACGATCAACAAATGTGGATGATAGGCGAATCAAAACACTTTCGAAATTAATTGACAGTTAACCGACCTCTCATTTACCATCCCTCCTACTTTACACATGTACACACACACACACACACTGTTCAATGTACATTGTTTCGAAACTTCATCATCATCACAGGTATCAATAACCATTATTATTATTATTAATATGAAAATTCCTGAATTCTTCTTACATTTGACCATTAATTAACATTCAAACCGATTTACACTAACACAAACTACGCACACACACACACACTGATATACTTGACATAAAACTTGAAGCAAGTTAGATTTCAGTCAATTATGATTACATCATCGATAGTCATTAATAATAATCACAATAATAATAATAATAGTAATTATTGTTATTACTATTTTTATTGTTTTCTAATGATAAGTTGAAATTAGAAGATGAACACACCAGCAGGAGCAAACATCGAAATAAGGCAGAAATGGATTGATACATCATAGTACATACAATAAAACGGAAGAAATATGAAACGAATATTTTCATTAATCTCAATATCAATTAATTTTGTGAAGTGGCGTTATACAAGTGGTCTTGTTCAAGTTAATGATAAGAGAATACTATAAAAAAAAATTGAATTTGTTTTTCTGTGGTGTTTTGCCGATTCAGTCATTAACAATATCAGTTGATTTCATCTCTCTTAGACTTCAGTGAGACCAGATGTACTCTTATTTGATCATCAGTTGAAGGCCAGAACGAGAACAGTCATATTTGAATAGACTGAGATAGATTGACATTGAAGAAAGGAATGTGACATAATGATTTACATTCTCCGTCATGTGTGATGATTCACACGTGTAATCAGCTCGTTTTATGTACCTAAATTTACACAGTCCTTCGTCGAAATCCTACATTTTGGGTAACGTGGACAAAGAATTTGATGAAGGGATATGGTGCGATTCCTATTCAAAGTTCATCACAGCAGAATGAGGAAAGGGTAGATGATTGTTATAGAATTATCAACCGATTGAGTCACCACTGGTTACAATGGGTCATAGGTATTCTAACAATCAATCAAACTAGAGAGAAAGTGTGTGTCAGATACCTTATGTGTTCGGTAGATTGTAGAGCAGTGGTTCATTCGAATTCCAACTTTTTAAAAGTTGATTTGAAGTGCTACTATATGCAACAGGTAGTTGAAAGTTGATTGATTCGACAAGTAAGTAGTCAAACTTTGTAATCGGAAGTGAGTGGATGAGTTTACACTAATCCATGGTTGATCAACACGTGATTTTAAATAAGTCTGATCGATTCAATAGTTTAAAAAAATATTTTAGTGGACTAATCAGTGTGACCTGAAATAATATTCAAAAAATATCCTATATGGGAGATTGAGAAGTAGTATTTCTACCAGATGACAGGATGATTGGAATTCGATCTCAACAAAATCTGGTCATTTGTTCGTCATTATTGATCATAGCTTTTCATTCATTTCTGCCTGTTATTTTTTATTATCGACCTATTGGAAAGTGATTTTATCTTTCTCAATTGTTCACAGACATTTTTAATGAAAATGTCATTTTTGAGAGTTGGTTAATGACACTGTCAAATTAGCAAGATGTTACATCGGTATGAAATCGAGAAAATGTGAGTTTCAGCATTATTCGAAACTCGCACTCACTACCCTACATTCTTACGACTACAGTTTGAAGAAATAGTCTTTCAACTGTTTGTGTATTTACCACCTAAACTTGCAGTACATTCAGAGCGTTATTCAGGAAAAAAAGTAGAACAGACCATAATGTACATCTCAATACTACATGGAATGATCTCCTACATGAATTCAGTTGTGTGACAGTATACCAACTACCTGCCCATTCAACATCCTGATTTACAATCACTTACACAGTACAATAATAGAGGATTCGTCATGTATAGTGAATGCCCTATTCAACAATCCATCTATCGAAACCAATGTGAAATGTCCGCTGTGTTTCAAGATTGGAATCAGTCAATTAGTCAATCAGTCAATCAATCAATTTACCAATGAATTACACACTTACCGATATAACTGAAATTCGGTTTCGGTTCATCATCGTTGATCAAATCACATGATTTGATATTGTGAGGTTGCAATTGTGGTGGGTGTTGCTGGTGTTGTCGCTGCTGCTGTTTGAGCTGTTGTTGTTGATGATGATGAAGGTGATGACGATGTTGATTGTTTCGGTGTCGTTGCAGATGTGTTGCCTTCATTTTGACCGCATTCACAGTGTCATTCAGTTGAGGAGATGGACTGACATTACGGACGTATGCACTGTTCCATCGATTCATATAATTCTGATATGGTAAAAATAAAGAGTCCGATTGTTTCATCCCACAATGAAGACGATGAGGATGATGATGAGTATTACAATCCACATTGTTATAATGAATCGGTGATGTTTTCAATAAACTGAATGGATTTATTTGAGGAGGAAATGAATCAGAATAATTGTAGTTATCCAGTGAGTGAATCATAGATGTAGAAGTGGTACAAGTCGTTATGGGTGGCGAGATCATTTGTACAGTTTGTGATGTAGACCAATTTGAAGTTGATGGATGGACAGCGCTGTGATTTGTGTTTGGACTATTATAATTTTGATGAATAATGTCATTGTCATAAGTTTGCATAAGTTGATGATGTTTGAAGAAGACATTTGATGAAATCATATCATTGTACGTCATGATGGAGAGTTGAGTTGAATGAGTGAATCTAATCAAGGCGGCGTTTGAAAATGAAAGTAGAAACTTTGTTATCAATGTTATTCGATTGTTCACAGTGTCATTAACCTGATCAGTAGGATATGAAGTGTATATAAATCAGTACTCAATGTGTCTACTACTACACTGAACACTTTCGCCTTGTTCATGCAGTGCAATTTGTGGCTACTGTTTGTTGTATATCCCCGCCGTGTGTCAATCAAAACTCAACTGAATTATTTTGACAAAAAAAACAGCTAAATCACCACTCCATTGACACTCCATTCACATCAAAATCAACAGGTTTATGTTTTTTCGTCATTCAAACTGTCCTTTCATTAGTTCTCACTGAATTGACCAATGAGGTGACAGTGAGATCGGATGCATCATTGGTTGGTTGGTTGGTTGACAATAGTTCAGAGGAGAGAGTAAATGTAAGTGAGAGGAAGGACAGCATAGAATAGCAAAGGAGAGAATAGAATAAGTTTAACAATGATGAAGGGAAACTGTGTGTGTGCAACTTGTTGTTCTATTATTGTTGTCCACGTGTCCATGATTTATTTTGTTACACAAGGGGATGATCATGGATTGATGATTATCTCTGATGGACAAGATTTCTTCATCTGTTTATTGATTGTCTGTTTGTTTGTTTGCATGTTCGTTTATTAGAAATTCGTCTTCATGAAGCATCATCATCGTAGTGAAGAAGAGTTGGTTGTGTGTGTGTGTGATTGAGAGATGAATGTGATCTGTTGACTAATGAAGATTGGAGTTTTTGTAGGAGAATAATCCAATGCAATTGACTCGATTTGTGTCATCGTTCTTCACATTACTGTCAAGCCTAAATGTATGCAGATTCACTGACTAACTTTGTGCTTGCGTGTGTTTGTGTGTGTGCATAATAGTGACAGTTTTCGGGGTGCCACTGATTCCCATGACGTTTTCGATATTTCACTGTCTACTTTTGCATTATCTACGCATCATTTCCTTTCCATTTCTGATGTTTACGTGTGTGTACCTGTCTGATGAGCTCTGATCAAAATGAAACGACATTAACATATCACATTTGACGTTGAGTAAACGGACAATTTCATGTAATTGTGCAATAAAAAATGAATTGCATAAATAACCGTAAAGTCAATCAGTCGGTTAGTCAATGACGATGATGATGATGATCTGTCTGTATTTTACCGGTATGTGTATTTTGAGTTGATAAGAGTTGGAGTAAATTTTTGGAGCCTGTTTTTATGAGTAGATGTAGGGTTGATGTGAATGAGTCGCGATTGGATGAATCAAGATGACAGTGAGGCTGAACATATTACTGATTTGTTTCATAAGTAGTAGTCTCTATTTTAATTAAAAATCACCTGATAGACACTTCCTTCACTAGAAACAGGTGAACTTTCAGTATTAATCAATAACTGTAATTCATTGACTGAATATTGAACTTTGTCTCTTACAGATTATTCTACATGTGAATGTATAGTGCAGATATCTTCCCTATAAACTGTTGTTTGATAGTTTTTATCAAGCGAGCAATAATACTTGCGATGTACACAATGATTTTCATTTAATGTCATTTTTGACATCCTTAATTATGCTTTAACGAGTTTCTGAACAAGAATGCATTGTATCACTAACAACTACATTACGCAATAAACCATGATAGAACTGTCTCCCCCTGTCTCTCTCTGCCTCTCTCGGTAATTCGATATTTTTGACTCTTATTCTAAACAGTAATCTTTTATGTGTACAGTTTTTGTCTTGTGATTGTTGCGTGATAATGATGTCATTGTTAATCCTCAACTCACTCCGTCTTCATTGTATTGTTCGAGAGAATCGATACTTTCTACTTCAACATCAACAGTGGTTAATGAAACACGTTAAACTATCTCAACCAAAATTCATAATAAACTGTATGTTTGAAGTGGATATCAGTATGGGAATGCATACATCAATGATGTTTTCTCAGTTCATTGATTGAAACGATGCTTAGAACTCAGTGTAATCTCACCACCACAACACAATTAATCAGTCTTCCAATGTAACCGTAAATAAATAGTTTATTTGGTGATCTTCAGCACATAGACAAGTTAGATTTTGACAGTATGCACAATTTCTTCACTTGTTAGTATTCCTACCTCCTTCTCTCGATTTCTATCAACACTCCAACGAATATTCAGTTTCTAAATTAAATCGACCGATTTATCAAGATCATTGAATAAATATTTCGTTTCAGTGAAAAAAAATCTCAAGTTGTCATCCACTCTTCTCACAACTCACACATACAATCAGTATTTCTCTGCTTGTGTGTAGGTGTTGAACATGAGGCAACTGAATAAGAAGCCAACCAAATTATAGGTGTATGAGTGAATGTGAATTGACATGGGAAAAATTCAAATCCAACACAGATTCATTCCGGAACTATTTTCAACTTAACCCATCATTATAACTGAGAATCGATGAGTTGGGTGGACAACATAGATAACAGTGTAAACTTGATTGCAGAATTGAAATTATGATTGTCAACACTGGAGAATATGTAATTATACTCTACTCTCAATCTCTCTGCATTTGTGTTGTTCTTGCTCTCTCATTGTGAATGTGTGTGTGTTGGTGTTTGGTATGTTTCACTGTGATGATTAGACTGACGCAATGATTATGATTGTAATGTTGTGTCTATGTGATATGATATTAAGTTGTTGTCATAGTTACAATTTGTGATATGATAACTGAATAATGTTAGATAACTTGAAATGATCACTTATCATAATAATTGACTTAAATTGATATGTTCATGATTGTTGGAAGATTGCTGATGATCGATGATAAAGTGAATGGTTGAAACCGATGTTGATAATTTGGTTGAGTTTATACATAGTTAGTTGTGTTCGAAGTGAGTGAAGTCAGAGTTATGTTTGATAAGTGTACTATCAGTGTGAGTTGTAAGCACTCTAGTGCCATCATACTGGAAGTGGTTGATTTCAATCCGTCTACTGATAGTACCTTGTTGAGTACATCATTGTAGGAATTGATTCCATAGACCAGTCATCCTTGTGTGTATGTTTTGATAGTTCATTGTGATGTCACACGATGAACTCAATGAGTTCATGACTCACAGAAACTGAACAAATAAATACTGGTTACATAGAATTCCATCTTGTTTGTGGATGTTGTTGTGGGATTTAAATCCACCTTCTTTAGTGGTCCGTGGAATGACCGAGTAGTTGACGCCGAAATAGACGGAAATGTATGCAAGTCAACCTAGTCAAATTGTAAACTGCAACATACATGTGTATGGAACTGTGTTCACATTAACCATATTGGTACGATGAAGTGTCTTCACATTTATCACCCTGTTTTAATTCGAAAATGAAGAGAATAATAGTGGAAAGTATGTTTTTTGAAATATAGCTTTTCGATTTTGACTGTTTTATTTTATGAGACATTGAGTAAGCGAGTGAATAAGCGAGTTGTTGTGAATTATGTGAATGACTAACCAGATCCAATCACAGCTCACAAAGCGAATTCATTATTGTGTCATTAAAAAAAAAGAGTTTTATTTAAGGGTTAATAATCTAGCGTTTTCCTTAACGAGTTAGTTTTCTATAGGACGATGTAACTAACCCCATGCTACTACAAGTTTTCACGAATAGTTCATTCGAAGTCTAATTTTCCGAGTTTTGGATCAATCTGTGTCAATTTGACTGATTGGAAATGAGTTGAATTACCGGTTACATCAGATGATGCATTCAAGATTTATCCAATAAGATTTCTGGTAGATACCATCAAATATCTAGAGATCCAGTGTTTAATATGTCAACTCCGGTCAATTCACCACACTGTCTGTCTGCTCTGGGGAACCTCTGGAATGCAACCGATGAGTCAATGATGTAAAACTTTGCATTCTGCAACAATACCACAATGCAGTACTCTGTGCAATCGATGTGTTTATTAATATTCATTAGTATTAACAGGTTGGAGTGTGATTAAATTGCACTAAATCGCTAAGTACTCCTAACACTGTACTAATTTGTCCTCGTTAATGTTAGCAGTTACATTGAGTTTGCATGTATGAATGTATGAATTTGCACTGACAACTGACTAATCTACTAGTCAGTTCGTATGAAAGCTTCTCATCAATTCTCAACATCCTCTGACTCTGATATTTGTATTCACTGAACATTCTGTATTCCCTAATCTACAAACTTCATTACCTCCCACCCTAACTCACCGAAAGTTTTCAATCACAATTTGGTCATTCGAAATAAGTAGACTTCCTACCATTTTCACAAATGTACACAAAATTAATGATCATTGTTTCTTGAATTGTGTAATTACCACATTGTGTATTTGATCAATGATCCGTGGATCGCTATACTTGTTTATTTTTGTTTCGTTGTGTACATATGTGATCGTTTTCTTGTGACATAAAACTGCTCACAACTCATTGATAATTACCGACTCAGTGTGAGTCAACACATTTGAAGTATCCATATTGTGGAAGATTGTTCTTGTCAGGCTTTCATTATTAAAACACTACTACTACTCATTAAAATCGTGTAAATTGATATTGTCATCGAGTGTAGTAGACTATTCACCTAATTGGATTGTTGATTTGTTTATGTGAGAGAAGTGGGTCGCGTCGTTTAATGATATTTTTCAACAAACAAACTAACTAACTAACACACTACAGAACTAACTAGCTAGTTCGAAGAGCATGAAAGTGTGAATCCAACTCACTAATGTGTATGAAGCTGTTGAGTATCACACCATCACATACCCTCACAAACAGATAGACCTACATCCTCGTTTGTTTCCTGAGATCTACTGTTGTCTCAGCTCACACCCACACACACCGCACACCCACACATACTGGTATGTAGATCGTTTTAATCAATCAGTTTACCACATTGTGAAGTGTTCCTATTTTATGTGTGTGATACCCGATATGGAACTTGTGAAAACAATGTCCACTTGATAAT